ATTTCATTGGTCGCCTTCGTTCATCCGTCATGTGGTGTACGAGTAATGCGAGATTTTCGCACGATTTTAAATTTATTCGAAAATAACTGAACTTTCTCGTCCGTCACCGTCTTCTGTACAAAAGTAACCATTTTATCATTCTCTCCTCCTGATTTATCGCTTACGATTTACGACACGAGCCTCGCTCGTTGCATGCTAATTCGTGTCGTTGACGCTGCGGTAGCGCCTTCCTCGGTTCACCTGGCGATTGTTCGGACCCGTATCGCAGCGACGTCTTTGTTAATGCACGAGAACTGCTGCGAATGTTTTGTGTCAACAAACGTGTCCGCGCGAGATGAGATTTTTCGATTACGATTTCGCACACTCGAATAATTGTTCGAAAAATTGGAGCTGCATTCGTAGGTACGCTGAAATAAATAAGCGAAGAGTGTTATGTGCATATCATCGATTTTATTGCGTTTTATTTGTATGGAAATTATTCAGGTTTATCATTAAATTTTACGATTTTTTCATCTTCATTCGCTATTCATGACAATAACATATAGAGGTATAATTTTCGTTTGTTTTTATGTATTTTTTAAATACGAATAACATCTGAAAGTACTAAACCGATTCTTATCTACATTGGAATGGACGAAGTCAGAAACTTTTGAGTTAAATTATTGCAGATCATGATTAAAAAAAAACACTGCAATAACTTCAGTTAGCATTTATTGTCATTATAGCTGTAACGGAAGAATTAACATAATTCCTTAACATTAACACAAATAACATAGGCTAATGCCTAGACATGTACGAAGCCACAGATTTACATGTAAAATAAATAAACACTAATTATATAAATATACAATTAATCGTGTTCGTTTTTTGAATTTGAATTTGTTAGTTAATGTCAGGCTGGGGTAGAATATCAGCGTTGTGCACATTGCGTGTAACAAAGCTGACCCCAGATCTTTTCGTTTAAAATCTGATGAAAATAATTGTATTAAAAATTGCTTGTAGTATATTTGCGATCTTAGACAGCTAGTGGTTGCCTAGTGGTCGCAATTTCACCATAATTATTTATACATGGAAGTGTATAGTTTTTTTGTATTGATTTAATGTATTTTTATACATAAGTAAAGAAATATTAGCATTGTACTCCTTCTCTATACAGCGTGTCGTTACCATCGCGACAATAAATGAACACACGTCTAACGCTACTTGCCAATAATCATAAAAAAATATTAACGTTAAACAAAATCCATAATAAAAAAAAATATTTTTCAAACAAACTAATTAAGTAAAAAAGAAACAAAATTTGTAACATCCTATACTACTCGCGCCACAGCGTCGCATTACAAGCCTTTCCTTCTAACAGTATGTTTTGTCTCTTTTAAATTCAATCAACCCATTCATATGCTTTGTGACCTTTACCAATGAACTTTACGTTACAGTTTTATACGTAAGAGTGTTCTAAAATTCTTTATTTTTGAAACTTTAATAACTCTGTAAATATTCATATTTAAAGAATGTAAATGTTTAATACAATTTTAAAAAGTTATCCCCTATATGTGTGTTCATTAATTGTCGCGATTGTAAAGACACGCTGTATATAATCTATAAGTGTGAGAAATTTCAAATTTCATATATTTTTTAAACAATTTTTTTTTATTTATAATAAATAATCAATACAATTATAACAATAATACAAACATATTTAACAACATATTTATTTAACGCTACGTTCAAGAGCCGCTCTACAATGGTTCCGTAGGAAGACACGGACGGGTACCGAGTCAATAAACCCGGAAACGGGCAATTTGCATTCCCGGAACAAGCCGAGCGGGGCTGGGGAGAGTGCAGCAGTACCGTTGGCTAGAAACTATGTCGCCTCCTCCTGTATTCGCAAACGCTCTCTGCACTCCTCGCGATGACGAAGAACTGGTGGATAACATGGAGACGCGAAGACCCAGCGGCCGCGAGGCATTTTCGGGACACCGTTGAAGAAACCGGCGGTTTAGGGAGAACTAAAATGTCTTACGTTAAAACGTACACAGACAAAAAAGTTAAAAAGTACAATTTTTTTTCTAATTTTTTTACACTGACCTCACATTAGGATAACACTATCCAGTGTTGTAAGGACGTTTCATAAACATAAATTTTACGTGGACAAACACCCAGGTGCAAAAAAACTATCTGTGGTTCGCACAAATAGTTGTCCCGTGTGGTAACCGAACCCACGACCCCTGATGCTGAAGCCAATAACTTGACAACTGCATCACGGAGTCATCATTTCCATCCGTCCGAACCAGCTTCCGACCGAACTTCGCAAATAAACATTAATTATAATTAATTGCTGAATCGTTTTTTGCACCCGGTGACTCTGCACCGGGCGCAAAAAACGATTGGTCACTGGCGTTGATATCTCCCGTGCGTGTAAAACACTATAGTGTTATATGTATTCAAAATACACGTGAACAAGCAAATTGAGTACAACATAAAAAAACGGCAAAGGATAATAGCGCCGGGCGGCGTCATTTCCCCGAAAAAGGCAAAAAAAAAAGAATGAAACCAGTTTGGCCATTGTAAATCTATGCACTAAGCCTACGTGTTGGCAAAGCGGGTAAAGTTTCAAGCGCGTAGCCGCCGCGGTAAATGTAGAAGGAAGGAAGACTAAAGCACTGCAGACGCGTCACTCCTGTACACCTATTCGGAAAAACGAAATATATAAGATAAAACTTCCAGAGGACCTAACCCGATCTGTCGAATGTCGTTTCGGAGTACCTTCAATGAAACGATATAGATATTTGTCGATATAGATGTGGTGATTGAATTCGCGGTCTAAAATATGATCGCAAACTGCAATATTCTTCAACCGGTTCCTTCACCGGTTCGGTGCTAAAGTTCTAAAATGTTCGAAACGTCGGTTATTTAAAACTTAAAATCAAAAGCAATAAAATCCATAGAATACTTTCAATTAACGAACCATGTATTCGCGTAATTACTGGAAATAAACAAAATGATATAAATTAATCGTAGTGAATTATCAAATGAAATCGACTTGTTAAGTATGGACATTCAATCTAGTGGTCAAAGATCTTCTTTTAACAATAGTGATGTGATTTGAACAACCAAAGGCTTTACTCGATTGGTGTGCAGGCAATCTATAGCAGTTCCCTGTATAGATTGACTACAACATTAAGGAGGGTTTTAATCTATGTAGTTAAATTGTTATCTCTAAAGTGTATTTTAATTAAATTAAACGTAGCAATCGAACCATAGTTAAACATACAATAAAAAGTTTAAAAAGGCACGGTTATCAACATTGACCCGTCTCATTTTATTACACGGAGTAAAGTCGACATGTTTATTTATTTTCGTCATCCAATATCTGTATTACATATGTTAACGCTTTATTGAACACTATCGACCCGCCCCGGCTTCGCGCGGGTGCAATGCTCAATGTTCGTTTTCGACATCGCATTAGAAACCTCTAAAATTATCAGTGTTTTTCTACACATTATGAATTATACATATAAACCTTCGTCTTGAATTACTCTATCTATTAAAGAGAACCGTATCAAAAACCGTTGCGTAGTTTAAAAGATCTTAGCATATATAGAGACAGACAGACAGCGAGACGACTTTGCACTATGTAGTGATAATGTTATACGAAAATCACTATGTACGAGCGAAGTTTTTGAATCTGGTAAAGTTAGAAGTTCGATGACACTTTGTAAACGGGTCTAACTAACAATTTGGACATTTTGACCTTTTGACGTTAAATGCTCGATGTCGTTCACATTGTACTATTGATATTAGAGACGAGTATTGTGAATAACTAACTAGGCTAAATGTAAAAAATAAAGTATCAGCCTATACATGTTCCACTGCTGGCAAAGGTCTCCTCTGTACAGAGGAGATCAGGACATAGTCCACCACGCGGCCCCACTGCGGATTGCCGGACTTCACATAATATCTGCGAAATATTTTTTTGTATTATTCTTCTAATTTTTTTTTATTTTTCGAAAATATACAGGTTTCCTTACGATGTTTTCTTTCACCGCTGAGCACATGATATTTCTGCACCGAACTTTCTTAAATTAACCATTACAAATAACACCAATAGTGCCGGCACCGGGGATCGAACTCAGGTTACTCGAGTATATTGAATTAAAGGCGAGCGCCCGAACATTGAGCTATCACGGCTAGGCTAGGCGTGTGCACTTTTCGGCAAGGTGGGCAGTGGTAGGGCCACGCAACAGTCAACAATTTTGCACGAATGGGCAGGTCCATCGGGGAAGTACCACAAGTATAACAGTACAGAAGACCGACGTGAAGTAGAATTGTCACAATTTTTCTTTTCGTCTGTTGAGTGAGCTGACTAAAGGCAACTTTATTACAGGTGTTGCAAATTAAAACATCAGCTAGCTTGCCACCTTCTCACATCAAAAATAGTAATTCACCTTGCAGTAGTGCATTGAGACTTCAGAAGCTCGGATGATTTATGAAGAAAAACCTTATGTTGACAATCTATCTATCAATAAACACTGAAAGATTATATACCTTAATTAAAACTTAGTACCGACTTATTTTAAGAATTAAAGTAATTGTTGTAAAATAAAGAATTGGAAATTTTTTTGTGCAATACGTCTAATTTAATTTCATGAAGTTTTTGTATTCAAAAGCCAGCCAAACACTGCGTACACATGTGTACAGATGTGCATTAATACATGGTTTACGTTGTACGTACATTGATTGGACATTTTGAAATCTAAACATGCTCGTGTTAGTTTGGAATTTAGCCCTGAAACCTTTTTACATAAGATGCACTAAAATTATTGAGAACAATCGTGAAAATTTGGATGGCGTCGCTGCGGCAGCGGTAATGTCGTCCGTCGGCTTGTAGCCAATAATATTATTTACTCGAATTGTACACCGATGCCTCTGAGAGGCGGGGCGGTGCGGGCACTATCTGCATCGCGACGCAGTGTCGCGTCTGGCGCGCGGTATTTATAATGACGGGCGGACGCGCGTTCGAAACAGTGACCGCGCGTTTGCGGACCGAGCGAGACATGAAGGCGTACCATGTGTACCGGATCACCGCGGCTCTCTTACTGCACGGTGAGTTGATGTGCCGCCCCCGAAAACGGTAGGACTGTCGCGTTTATCACGACACCCCGACACAGTGAGCGTGTTGATGGTTTGTGTCCGACACAATCGAGCGTCGATTCGACAAATTCAGCGCCCGCGTGTATACTCAGTGTCGACGACGGTGGTATACCGCCGGGGTCTGCCGCTATTAGTTTTTGACGTAATTAAACTTATTAATTTTTAGGTTTGTAGTTTACGTATTTACTTTGTCGAGTAAGCGGTGGCGTTATATTTTATGGTGTGGCAAGATGTTGGTTGATAACTTTTCTGTTATATGTTATATGTTTGATAAAATAACTAAGTGTTTTGTACACACTTTTTGTCTGTTCATGTGTTACAAATATGTACTACATAGTTTACGTCTTTTGAAATGATGCTGAAAAAAGACACTATTGTTTTATGATTTCTGTTTTTATTCCTAATTTTATGTATTTACGGGCATACTAATCATTGAAACAAATTTTTCCCGTTTAATTTTGATGATAGATAACTTTTTTTTAATCCCCGCCTTTCGAACTCTTTAAAGTCACTTGGGCAGTGACGATGAAACTCTGTAAATGGTTATAATTTAACTTGCGATTAATAATCGTTACATAGTATAAAACAAAGTCGCTTCAGCTGTTTGTACGCTTAGATCTTGTAAACTACGCAATGGATTCTAATGAAGTTTTCAGCAATAGGTACAGTGATCCAAGAGGAAGGTTTATATGTAGTATACTTGCATATTGTAGTAGAGAAAAGCTAAGAGCTTTAAAGATATTTTATGCGATGTAGTAACAAGCATATATTTATTTGGTTACATTGCAAACGCTAGTTAAACCTTACGAAATAGATCAAATTAATGTACTACGTAATTAAATTTAAATTTTTTTTGCAGTTTGTTGATGTTTGATGTCTCACGAAGAAAAAAAAAGGGCTGTAAATATTGTATATAAAGACACCCTATAGTATAGACTAATCATAATATTATTAATAACTAGCTGCTGCCCGCAACTACGTCTGCGTTGAATAGGCTGAATGCGTAACGTTCAGATAGAAAGACAGATATACATAAAAAATGTATATAAATTATAGCCTATGTCTTATTCTGATGTATAAGCTATATTATTATAAAGTTTCATTAAAATCCATTCAGTAGTATTTGCATGAAAGAGTAACAAACATCCATCCATTCATACAAACTTTCGCCTTTATAATATTAGTAAGGAAGTAAGGATTTGACGCTGCCCCACATTAGTATGTTCATTTCACTCGCGCGACGCCGGGTAGGGTTACTAGTCAATTGTAAGAATTATGAATAATTTTCCCGAGCAGTGCGTGTTCCAACCAAGCAGGTTACCTCACTCCGACCACAAAGTAACTTTTTCTTTTTTTAAATTTTCGATTTTTGGAATTTGGAAGTTTAGGAAAAATCGATCTTGGTTTCGACTCGACGGGACGCCATTCTCAGACAGTCTAAATCGGCGATTGAATCTTTGTAAGCGATTAGTTTTTGATTTCGATAAGAGCAGTCCTTGATCCCGGTGCATGGAGCGTTGACTCGCGTTCTAAGGTTTTACGTCGCGTTGTAAGATTGTTATGATACCTAGGTTGCGCAGTTGCTAAGCTATTTACTTTGGCAGTGAAAGTCGTGGGTTCGATTCTTGTTGAGGACTCGGCTCTCTCACGGGACGATTATTTGTGTAGATCACACATAATTGTTCCGTGTGGCCGTTTGTAAGAGACCTAGCCGATACCAATAATATGTCATTCACTTGTTGTGCCAACCCCACTTATGTGACATCGCGGGAGGAAGATGGTGAAGATTTTATAAGCCATAATTCTTTCTTCGTTTGCCCTTACTTTAAGATAACATTATCCTGTGTTGTAAGGATGCTTACAAACATAAATTCCACGTGGACAAACACCCAGATGCGAAACAATTACCTGTGGGTCACACAAATAGTTGTCTCGTGTGGGAATCGAACCCACGACCCCCGAAGCCAATACCTTGAACCTTGGAACTGCGCCACGGAGTCCTCAATTCCCGCCTCAAGTTCGTCAAACGCTAGACACAGTTTAAGAGAGCAAAGACACAGTTGGAAAATCTGGTACCTAGTGTTGATTGTTCTCGCTGATTGAACCCAATAGCCACAAGCGTTTAAAAGTAAGAGCGGAAGTAGGTACACTAACCCTCTTTGCACATAAATTGTAACGAAAACACTTTTAAGTCTCGATTTATGTATAGAAAAACGAGTTATATAAATTTTTTGCGCGCGTAATTTAACCGTTAATTACATTTTAAGGTCGACTAGTAGGTGCCAGGTGGCGTTATATAATAGCGTAGATAATTCCGCATTTATTTATTTCATATTTTATGGCAAGCGAGCTGGCGGTTCACCTGATGTTAAGTGACAACTGTCGCTCATGGACGCTTACACCCGTAGGGTGCCAATACAAATGCGTTGCCACCTTTCAATAGAGTGGGCCTCGGGTACCTCACTCGCCAGATGAAAAGCAGAAGTGTAACGCTTCTACTTCACCGTGTCTTCTGTGAGGACGTTGTTACTTCTCCGGACGGACTTGCCCATTCTTGCAACAGCGAAGACGTTGCAAGAAATGCTTTCGTTGGTGGTAAACTTACACTGTCAGCAGAAACCTATTCGGTATTCTTGTCTTGAATATTAAGATTACTTTAGAGTACCTATTTTAAAATTATTCAGCGACTAATATGCTGTTTTAAAATTAGCATCATTAGTGAAATCTCTAATTTAACGTATAATTATAAAATACTTGTTTGTACATAGTTGGTCATACCTACAAAAATATCTTGTTCCGTAATTTTTCTCGCCATTCCCGATACCAAATTTGTTATTGGCGATGAGAAACTAAAAATGAAGAGTAACACAAGGAAGTGATTTTTATAAATTATATCACCACGATGCCATACATATTCAGTAGATAGTTTTTGTGACTTGTTCTGCCTCAACTGGTTCCGCTTCTATGAATATATTACGCTCGAATAGGTTTTTTTAGTCAAAACAAAAACATAAGTATAAGCTAAGGTCACGCCAGCAGTGTGCTGTTGTACCAAGGGTCTACTTCCTTACTTCCTAACCTGACCAAAATAAGGTCGCAGAGTGGAGTTATCTGTACTTCTCAGTATGGTGAGTGAGGTAAGCGGGGCGCTCTTATAAGCCGCGCACCTGCAACCCTACGGGTGTGGTGAGTGTCTACGGGATGTAATTACGGGATAATTTTTATGGAACCGTTAGCTCGTCTACCACCGTCTCATAAGAAACCTTTCATCAAAGATATAAAGCCACTGGCGGAATCGTGATAAACTATTTACCAATAATAAAATAAAAGTCTGAAACCAAAGAACACAAACAAAGGCTTACCTCTAGAATTCCCCTTACTCTTTTCTCGATCTTAAAGGATCCTGTTTCTCCATGTTATCTTAAAGATAAATTTAAATACCTCTCGCTGAACAATGAAAGAGATCTCCGTTCCTCAGCTAATCTAAAGATTACTATCCCTTCACATAATACCAGTTTCTTCAGTAATCCTTTCACTGTTCAAATATTTTATATTTTATGTTTAAGTATATAGTAATATATATATAAATATATTAATGTAATAATTGCACCTACCACAATTTCTCACCACGCCCAGGGTTGACTGGGAGAGACTGCCAAAAGGCATTAAGTTCGCTCTTTGTAATCCTTTTTATTTAAAGGTTGCAATAAAGTATAAGTAAATAAATAAAACTGATTGTACGGAAAGGAAACATTCCGATTAAATATATTTTATATTATCTATATATTAATATGTGAAGCAAAAACTTTGTACCCCTTTTTGCGAAAATTGCGCGGACGGAGGAGTATGAAATTTCTTACAAGTATAATTTGTATAAAGAAGAAGTGCAGAATGCTAAAATTTTTGTTAAATTAAAAATACATTAAATTAATATAGAAAACACTATACACATTACCAATTTACCATGTATTTGTTACGCACACGCATATATTATGTTTTGTTTATTGTGTATTGTATTTGAGAATAGATTAATATTGTCCAAACTTATAAGTAAAATTAATTATGGTCGATCTTCGATCACTCGGCGAGCTCTAGTTTCAATTATTTGGCAAGCTCTGAAAATCAGCAATTCGTGTCGAGTACATACGGGTGGATAGAAGTTGGGGTACTGTGAGGGTTTTATTTTAACGTAATTTCGCGATAGTCGATTGACGTACGCATGACGAGGACCCAGGCAAACGATTTCCAAAGTTCGTTTATAAGAAAAGCATCATCAATAACAGAATGAAACACGTAAAACGAAATAGTGCAAACGAAACATGCGAGTGGTCGTGGTAGCGTGCCCTAACTTTAACATCATGATATTTAGTAGGTAGTGGGTTTGGTTTCCAACAGGTATTCAAACCATCTAATAATGAACATCCCAGGACGGTACAAGTAGTATTATCGATTTTAAATCCCCAACAGCATCTAGAACGGATACAAAAGCGTCACTGCAATGTAAAAAGGTAGCTTAAATCTTTACAATATTTTCCAGGTCAATATAACAAACAAATGAAATTATTTTCCTTCTTCTAGTATAAACAAAGAGGCCAAGAGATTAAATATGCAAAAGCATTCATAGTTTATTTTCGATAATAATTATGTGAAAAGTGAATTAGTAGATATTAATTATGTATGCATTTGTATAGATAGCTAAATTATTGCGTCATATATGTCGGGTTATGTTAATAAGCACTGAAAATAGCTATTATTTTCTTTTTGTCTATAATATATACAATAAATGTCCGTAACCAAATAACTATGCTCAGTTCACGGAACGTATAAAATTTCGAATAGTACTAAAAACTACAAAAAAAAAAACCAAAAATAATTTGGAAAATGTAAATATTCGAGTTATTTAACCGAGGGCAAGTTAAGATCGTAGACGCAATAAGTATGAACTAGTGGTC